GAAGATGGGTCTCAAGTCATTACCTCATCCAACATTGACAAGAGTTTTGTCAACTTGCTTTGCATTTCTTGTCTCTCGGATGGAGAGATTTCAGCGGGAGGATTCGTGGTCGGTTCTTGAGAGATCTCATTTTTCTTATCTCTTTCCGCCTCAAAATGTTTCAGAGCATTCCTTACATTAACAGCCTCATCTAGAAGCTCTTGCGCCGCTTTAAGATACTTTGATTTGGGAATTGTTCTAACAACATCCAAGTTATGATTCCCGCCCGAAAAGCTCTGTGTTGCATACTCATTGCCTCTGAAATGATCGGTTCTTGCCGCGATACTTTGATCACTCATTTGATGAATTCCAGGTAGAATCTGTGAACCAAGGCTAAGGGACAATCCCTGACCGGTATGAAGAACTCCCGTAGCGCCGCCTCCCATCGCGCTCATTAGCTGGAAACCGTTCCTCTCAGTCGGTTGATCTCTCCAAGAACCGAAATCTTCAATGTCCTGCATTTGCGACATTCCACCAAATCTGGACAATTCTTGCCTCTCTTGTGAGGATGAGGCATTGTTAGCTTCATTTCTTTCTCTACCGGCTAATTCGTCGGAGTAAGAAACTGTAGGATTCATGTGGATCATTTCATTTCCGGGAAGAAACTGCGTTTCCGGATAATTCTCCATCATAAATGTATCAATGGAGTATCTTTCTTGGATCAGTTAAGCTACTAGTTTCCATCGTCTCTTGTCTTATAATCAGGTCATAGAAGCAGCAGCCTGGAAGTTTCAGATCAATTCAGAAACTTGAGTTTTTCATCATTCATCAAAACGGATCCTTTAAAAAACTTCAATCTTGTTGTAAGAACTTAGCTAATGGAAGAAATGCAAATGTCTGTCAGTAAGACATATTTTTATAACAGTTGAAACAGAACACGATCCAGAATCAGTTTATTTTCTAAGAAACATTGTAAGATTTGTTTATAAAATAAAAAATAAAAATAAAAACATTGTAAGATTTCATCATGTTATGAGTTTATTATGGTTATTGCATGCAACTGTGAAAATGTAAGCAAAATCAAAAACAAACATAAAAAAAGGAGTTGAAAGAGAAATAAAGAAAGATTAAAAGTTACCTGGAATTCAACTGCTGCTTCTGATGTGTTTGTTGAAGGAGACCAGCCAAATCCTTAAAGGAAAAAAAAAAAATTGATGATCCCAAAATTACAAAAAATGTGCTTTCTCCCACAAATTTTTAAGAGAAAGAAATGAAAATGTTATGCTTTTTTTCTCTTGTTTATTAATGATATAAATTTTGAATTCCTCATCTCGTTTCTCATCAATGTCACACGTGAAAGACCCATATCATTCTCTCCCAGCAAAAAAAAAACATATATAAATAAAAACTTTTTTAATAAAAGGGATAGAAAAAAAGAAAATCAAATAAAAACTTTCTTTCCTGAAAATATTGATTGCTTCAGAAAGCCATAATCTGGTTGGTGATTGAATTGCTTTGTTGATTCTTGGAGTGAAGCCTTTGGTATAGAGAAGAAAATTATTGCGAAAATGTTATAAATATATGGTTAAGGAGTTTCTATCCTTAAACAACCAGTTGGTCGACCTAAACCCTTCTCTTCATTATTCATTTA